ATAGTTATTCCAACTATTTTTTTCTCTCAGTGCACGATAATCGGAGAAAACTGTTAACATGAGAATTGGTCTTAGTTTTTGGACACAGTAGTATTATACGAATCGCCGTCGAGATTATATCACACGAATCGACATCCGATGGGCGCGAAAGAACTCGGTAAGGTCGACTTCACTTTTACTCGGCAGAATTAAGTCGGCCTAAGTCCTGTGACCGGGTCTTTCCTGCCGTTTTATGACCGGCAAAAAGCCACGTGAGATTTCGCGCTGATAAGTCTCATTGCTCCGTTCGCAAAAACCGAGCTACGAACAACCGAGCGAAGGATAACCGGCAGCACGTTGTTCAACGGTGCATGAACAACTGCACACGCGAGCATAGTTAAAGCGTAATTCACCGTAATTTTGCGCCAAGCATGCCTCTTTTTTTTTACAATTTCAAGAACGGCGGTCGGATTATCGGATCGTTTCGTGCCGATCAATACCTACCGCTTGGAGAGAATTTCACAGCAAAATTCATTACATTGTTGCTATTGCGGAATGCATTGACATTCTGTCTTGATTTATCTCTTTGGTTTATATGTGCTATTTATATTTTGGAAACTCTCTCTCCTCTTTTTTCTGCTTACTGTCTTGATTGAATGAACGGGCCAATGAACGAAGCGAGCACATTTTGGTTGAAGGAAGCGAAATGTTTGGTTCTCATGAATCAAATTCGATTTTAACGCCCGGAAATTCTGTTTTCTCCGACCAAAAGGTGTCTTGTTCGTTCAATCAACCGATTTTTTTTCTCCTATATTAAAAAAGATTATAATAAAAAAGGATTACCATGTTCCCTACAAGGCAAGATAAATTCTACTGACTAGAGAAAGCGGTGAAGTTGAAAAGAATTGATACAAAAAAACTATAATATTCTCTTCGTGTATATTTCGCGTCGCTCTCTCCTCGTGAGGGATCCGTTTTACTCATTTATCGAGGGTCGCCATTTACGTTATTACGTAATACACTCGTGAGCCGAATAATTCGGCAAGTGGCTGACTCCGTCGACTAATCTGACAATTCGATCTGCTCAGATCTGTCGTAGCGCGTATTAAGCGTGCTACTGTGAATTACGCAAGAGCGAAGTGCATTCGAATGCGCTGCACCGCAAACGACCGGCAAGAATAAGTTATGAGGCGGGTTGTGCCGAGCTTGCGCGCGAAATCGAATAAGATGCACTCTTATGAGAAAAGAAAGAGTTTGACAATTTATATGCGGGATACAAAGTTTATTTCGCAGAAATAAACTTTTATCCCCTACAACTAAATCCCCAAAAGTATTTTTTTCTCAGTGTACATCGAGAGAAACTAGTCGGAGAAATAAAAAAAATATTTATTCGGTGAGCAAACCAACATAGCATATTAGTTCAAATGTGAATTATTTTACTTAAATAGAACAAATAAATATTTTTTCATAAAAAGTTAAGATTTCAACAAATTGTACACTGAGAAAAATATTCAGTTATATTTAATCGGAGTATCCAATGCAAAAGTAACAAACGGATATATCCGACCAAATTATATATCCGATACAAGAAGTAATCGGACATATCCAAACGAATATCCGACCCATAAATATCGGTGTAATACGACTGGCCAGAATATAATCTTATCGAGTGAACATAATCTTATCATGAATATGATTCTGTATTCTTCACGATTTTACGACTTCGTAAGACGAGTTTAGACGAGCTTAGACGAGCTTTATAATATTAAATTCAGCTTTAAGAATTAAGTACTCTTACTTATTAATAGTTTAATAACTTCCTCTTCAATATTCATTTCTTATAACGCATTACGTATCTCATTATTCTCAGTGAGCCGATAAGTTACACAAACGATATAAATTTCAATGAAGATCGACCATGTAGAGAGATAAAAAAAAGACGCTTCTGGCTATCTTCGAGCTATCAAAGACCGTTTTGACCAATGAACGTGTTATGCCAATAGATCTTATCGGTTATTGTTTATCATCGGATAATATACAATCGGATATTGCGCGACTGCTTTCTTTTTATCCAATTACATGCAACATCCGATCTTATCGTTATTTCATCCGATGAAATCGTGTTCCACATCCGATAAAAATCTACAGCGGATATACAAAGGACGACTAACTTCCCATCGGTAACCGCATTGTATCGGATAATAGCATCTATCGCTTGATGGGAGAGCAAAATTAACAATTGGATACATTACTTTATTGATTTATCCGATTGAAATTTTTCTCAGCGTATATTTTCCTTATTTGAACCGTGTTTTATGTTAGAGTATTTAAGTGAATAATATTTTTTAATATTTTAATAATAATATAATGAAAGAATATAATTATTTTAATAATAATATAAATGAAAAAAACATTTTTTATTAGAATAATTAAATACCGGTTATTAGTATACTGAATAAATATTTTCTATCTTTTGGACATTTTTCTCTCAGTATACTGAGAGAAAAGACTGGTAACTATAACAAACTGCATTTAGTTACAGAAATTCATTGAATCCTTAGTAACTAATACTAAATATGATAATAATTACCAAATATTTAATAGATCGGGAGTATGACGTAATTGTATTCACAATAACATCATTTAAATAATTTAGTAATAGTTACTTAATGTTAAATATTTAATATTAAATATATTACAATTATGAACAGATATTTGATAATTGTTATATCCCATATAATAAAAAATTCCAGCCAACTACACTGAGAGAAAAGACTGGTAACTATAACAAACTGTATTTAGTTACAGAAATTCATTGAATCCTTAGTAACTAATACTAAATATGATAATAATTACCAAATATTTAAGATAATATTAAATATTAATATTAAATATTTAATATTAATATTTAATATTATCTAATATTTAATATTTATTAGATCGGGAGTATGACGTAATTGCATTCACATTAACATCAATTAAATAATTTAGTAATAGTTACTTAATGTTAATTATTTAATATGAAATATATTACAATTATGAACAGATATTTGATAATTGTTATGAAATTGTTATATCCCATATAATAAAAAATTCAGTAGGTACGAGTTCTATTTTGTTACCAGTATAAGTATGTTTTGTTGCAGCACAACGAAAAATTCATTTATTTGCAGCTATTACATCGTTTCAATATCTATTGTTACAGATAGTTGGTTGAACCTATTAAAAATTTTGTAACTATTACACAATCGCTTATTTTGCTCAACTATTCAATAAGTTTTGTTTACCAAATATATTCTGGA